GAGCGTGGGGTAAAAGGCTGGGTGGCCCATACCCGCGGCACGCGCGGCCCCGGGTCTGCCGTTAATGATCCTTCCGCAGGTTCACCTACGGAAACCTTGTTACGACTTTTACTTCCTCTAGATAGTCAAGTTCGATCGTCTTCTCAGCGCTCGGCCAGGGCCGTCGCCGACCCCGGCAAGGCCGATCCGAGGACCTCACTAAACCATCCAATCGGTAGTAGCGACGGGCGGTGTGTACAAAGGGCAGGGACTTAATCAACGCGAGCTTATGACCCACGCTTACTGGGAATTCCTCGTTCATGGGAAATAATTGCAATCCCCAATCCCCAACTACTGGGAAGCTTATGGAGTCATTTCTTTTGGATTTTCTGATGACTGGAATACACATCGCAGGCTGGTACACTGAGAGCACTGCTCAAGATGGAGTTTATATTCTCACGTCTACATAAGACTGAGAAAAGGAGACTGTTACTACTTTAGAACCAGGAAACTTCTGGAAGGTGTTTACTGGAAAACATCCTGGAAAAATAAGAGTATGCTTACATTGATTGTAGGGCTAGTAATGGCTGTCTGCAGTCCAGCAGGCCATAATTACAATGATTTATACAGGATAGGTACAATTTATTGGTATTATTCAACTTTCCAAGATTAAATTATTCCATATTTATGACAGAGAATGATATGAAATAATGGTTTTTATATAGTGTTGTTCATCACAAAGCTAATACAATTGTTTTCGTATTACGAAACTGGAAAAAAAGAATATGGAAAATTTTCAAAAATACTCCAAAACATTTAATAGACGAAGCTGAAAAATTATGCAACAATTGTAAAGACGGGGCGACAAACTGCAAGATATTTACAACAAATATGACTGCGTCTGAGAGTAACGGCTTTGGGTTGCAGCTCGACGTGTGGTTCTCATTTCGCTCAGATGAGCATCCACAGGTCGTTTCCAGGCCCTCAGCCAAAAATACATTTTGTGGGGGAGTCCGGCAGCTCAGTAGGTTTCACCGACCAAAGGGGGGGGTCCCCCTCATTAGATATAGCTGATTGGGGGGGGGGGGGTGTACCACTCTGTAGAAGCAAATTCACAGGGGGTCCAATCTTGTAATTTTACTACAAAAACAACATTGGGGGCGGGGCATGCAGCTATGTGACTGCTGTGATTGGTTGTTCCCCTCCACATGGGGTGGAGTCCATCAGTGGCCTGGAGACAGACACTCTGCATAAGGAAGCTGCACATGTCTCTCAGGACACAGGGATGACAAACAAGCTGTGAAAGACCCGGCGGGGCATGGGGGGCGGCGGGTGCAAGCAGGGAGCAGGGGGGGCGGGGGGGGGGAGGCCTCCCTAAGGCTCTCCGGACTGCGCTACTCTAATCTGTTTAGCAGGTCGGCAGCTGGCGGAGAAAGCGGGAAAATGGAGGGAGGGGGAGGATACAGAGGGGGGCTCCTGAGGGTTCCCTCACGGGGATTCCCCTCAGCCGGAATCCATCAGCATCGAGCCTCTTGGTGTAATAACAAGGCGGGGGCACCGGAAGGCAGTACTGTGTGCACCCCCCCACCCCCCAAGAGATCTGCAACACTGATGGCTAATTAGTTTGGGACGCTGAGGCACCGGAGCATTTTGAGGGCTCGCCAAGCCGGCCAGAGTGAGCAAGGCTGGGAGGGAGAGCCCGGCGGGGCGGGAGAAGGGGGGGGGGGGGGGGGGGGGGGCGGGGGGGAGGAGCCTGGAGGGCGTTTCCATGGCAGTCTGGCCAAGGAATCCAGAGCCGGTGCCAGATGCAGGGAAACCCTCTTCAAAAACAAGGGAGCACACAAATCAAGGCCAGGCCAGCGTGCGGCAAGGGCCCTTAGACGGGCCGTTAAATCCAGGCTTCTCTAATGGACGTGGGGAAGGCGACTTCCTCTCTCCAGCGGGGGGGCGAGGACAAGCTTCTTACTGTCACACAGTCACGCGTACGGCTGAGCACGGATCTACCGCTCTCCCTGTCCCTTTCAGCCATGCAATGAAGGCAATTGTATGTATTTCCACAACTGAGGTTAGGCCCAAGTTTCCTCCACAAACTGAATCAAGGAAATTGCTGTTTGTAAACCTTTAATATCAACATCTTGGAGCAGCTCCTCCTTCCCATTGAAAGGCAGTAAAGGGCAAAAAGGGAAAAAAATCAAAACAAATATTTTGGCGCACGTGAAACAGCACATGCCCGGTGTGTGACTCATCCTTTAACTTGTGGCGGGCAGTGGAAACTCTGCAAAATGTAAATACATTCGGTTAAAAATACAGGGGCCTAATGCTCCCCATGTGTGCCTCCGCAGCACGACGATAAGTGTTTTGACAGAGGACTGCGAGGCAGTGAGTGAGGGTGATCCCTCTGACTGGGCTTTGCAGAGACCCGCGTGCGGCTGACCTCCACCAACTCCTGCTGCATACCTTGGGCCTTCTCCACAAACACCACTTTCGAGTCGGCCTGGAAGTTGTGCCCGCTCAGGAGCATATTCTTGCCTCCCGTGGTGGGACAGCTGTCCAAGCTCTGCTTCTCCACCAGCGGCAGCTCCTGTGCTGAGCGCTGGGCTGTGGAAGGAAAGGCAGAGGGGCAGATCTGTCAGCCCCTCGAGCTTCGTGCCAGACACCACTGCACTGAAGAGTGTGGAGGTGCAGCGGTATAATGCTGCTATTATTTACACGCTAGGTTATAGAAGCAGGGAATTTGCACTGGGAAATGTCAGAGCACTGAAGCCATATGCACGACCCAACCACTAAGTAACAATGTTCTTATTGCTAGCAAATATAGCAATTACATATTCAGCCATTAACAAGTGACTAGCCATGTATAATGGCTTCGAGATAGCTAAAACTGCACAGATAGATTACTGGCGGGGTTCTGTAACCCGCACGAGACAGAGAGCAGCACTCACAGCACTCGATGGGGTTGGAAGCGGCCTGCAGTGACACGGTTCTGCCACCAGGCTGCTCGATGTGCACGCGGAACACCATCCTCACGCGTGTGTTCTTGCGCCCGATGTCCGTCTCGCCTTTCCGGAGCTCGATGTCCGAGTTACGCAGCTTCAGGATCCCGGCACAGTCGATTCTGCCGTGGGAGTAAAGGCCGTGTCACGCTTTTGGCTGCTGAAGCTCCAGTGAGGGCTGATCTCTGCACTGAACTCTGTGTAAATCCTCAAATCCCACAGACGTTTCATTCTCTCGGGGTACCTCAAGGCTCCATCCTAACACTGTGTACTGTTCTGCACAGCAATAGCTTAATATGCTACATAATATGCACTTCTGAGAACGACCAGTAATTTCATTCTTTCTATGGTTTTTTCTATTCCTTGGCTCTCAATGTACTTTTTACACCCAGCTCTGATGGTCATTAAACACTTTGTTAATGTCCTCACCAAAACCCCTTCATACGTCTCTGAGTTTTCTGGTTGGAAAACTGCTCACTCTGGCTTTCAGACTGCTTCACTCTGAGCTTTTATAAAGAAAATTAAAGAAAATTGCTTCCATTGCATTGTGCCATCTTGGAATGTTCATACTCTTCTTTATGTTCATTTACATTCAACAAAAGATAACGATGAGAGTGTCATTTATTTTCAGTAAGTTCGGTTTCTCCTACAAACTGTGCTTTGCCTAATTTGTCCATCCATTTCCCATGACCTTTTACCAGTTCAGGGTCAGCGTGAGCCTAGGGCTCGTCCCGGGAAACAGTGGAGGCAGGATCCCAGTCTATTGCATGGCACATACACACACTATGTCAAATTTAGAGCCAACAATCCAGCCAAATATATGTTTGTGGACTCAAACTCATGATTACACAGGGTGAACACACAAACTCCATGCACATGTACCACAAGTGGGATCTGAACCCAAAACCCTCACATGCAAGCCTACGGTGTTCACCCCTGTCACTGAGCTGCATTACTAAATGCACAATATTATATTTTTGCATAATAATATACATCACATATGTATTACATTAAGTAGATTAGAACCAATTTTACTAATTCAGTCAAGTATTGATGTAGAACTAATTCTAAGCTGTGTCATTATATATTTTAGGCATTTTAAGCAATGAAACATGGCAGAAGGACTCTTCTTTCTAAGAAACTGAAAACCTGGAGATCAAGCGAAATGGGGAAGAAACAAATGAAGAAGATGGCATGAAACGAGAGAAAACCTGACCATCTGTAGCCACCAGATCACGTTTCTTGCACCAGCGCAATTTTACTTAAGTGGTAGGACTTTAAATGCGACTTTATTCCAGTGGACGCAAAGAGCGAACTAACTATTGCTTATTGATCTTCATGGAAATTAACACGGGAATATTACCACTGTTATATATTGGTTTCAGTTACAGTATCTCAAACATTATGATGACTGCTACCTTGCGTGCAAGTCATCCACAACTCTCCATAACTAATCTCCCATTGTCTTTACAGAGCCACAGACATTCTTGATGGTGCATCACATCTCGTAGAAGGCTGGACCAGCCACTGAAGGACTCCACTAAGGAGACTTAGCCCCCACACACTGCCCCACCCTATACAACCTGTCCATGTGCACATATTTATTGACAGTTTCGTATTTTGCACATATTAATAAATGTTACTTGTCCTGTCTCGTGTTTTGTTTGTCTGTCGTGTACAATGACAATAAAGAACTGAATCTTGAACCACAAAACCCCAAAAGTTCACTTCTGTATTTATGTATGAAGGCAAGAATTCTAAAATATAAACTGGAAATTCTTGTCATAATGCATTTCTATTGGACGCTACAGTGTTGTCTGAATAAGTGAATGAAATGCTTTCGTGAAACAATCAGATAGCTTCAGATAGGCTTTGCACATTTGGTCCCTAGTGAGTAACGCCAAGACGGATCCAGCTGAACGGGACTGATGAGAGAGCAACGACGGCCAAAAAAGCTTCTGCCTGAAGTTTAGATGCCGCGAAAGCTGTTTAGCGTTCTGTCTGCTCTTATCTGTGTTCCTGACTGCTATTACTGCAGCCACGTGGGAAGGCATGGTATCTATGGTAACAGATATGCCAGATATAACAGAAGATTAATTGTCATGGAGATGGAGAAAGTTCACCCGAGGCTGATTAGTTGTGCATCTGTAAAATCCCACTCAAGATAATAAACAGCTCATAGTCAAAAAGTATTTTTAACCCATTATCTATCTAGAGTGATTAACGACGCTCCTCCTTAAATAGGACATAGACTGCTGGCCAAGTATAATTACACAGCTTAAATAGAAAATACACTCAGTGGCCGTTTTATTGGGTACCTCTCCATAGGAGGCGCTTCTGGCTTGAGGACCACCTCAAGGTTTGCCGAGTACTGTTGTACTCAGCTGTTATTTCTGCACTTTTGGCCTTGCTGTTAGTTTTAACGAGTCTGGCCATTCTTCTATAACTGGGGGTTTTCTGTTCATCGCACCATTCTCTATAATCTCGAAAGACCATCATGTCTGGCACCAATAATCATACCACATTTAAGATCCCTTAGATCAGGCGTCTTGGTCGTTCTGATGTTAGCTGCAGTGTGTTGGAGAAGCAGTTATGAAGATGGATGCACGGATGAGGGATGGACAGTAATGGACTGCAGTGTTCCCCCAATTCTGGCAGAATACATTTCCATGACTTTTCGAAAACTTTTCCAGGACCATAAGAAAATTTTCCAAAACCCACAAGTTTGTAAAACTAAAGTAGATAGAATAGTACTTATATAAGGTAGTTAACTATTGACTTCCGCTCGTACATTTCCTTTGCAGAACGAAGCGGGAAACAGAAATGAACAAGGCCAGTTTCCAAAACTTTTCCAAAACTCTTCCTCTCTATCCAAAAATTCCAAAACTTATCCAGGGCCTGGAAAAATTATTTCAAAATTCCAAAACTTTCCCAAGTTTTCCATGACTGCGGGTACCCTGGGACTGTAACTAGGACCATTCAGGGATTTGGGCAGACAAACTTCAGATTAGAAATCCTTAACCACTAGGCCACCTGCTGGCTCTTGGTAATAAGCACATGTGACGTAGTTCTGTGTCCTAACAAGTCAGGTGGACACTGGACAGAATGGGACAGAAGCAGGCAGGAGACAGGAGGTCGGCCGGGACACTCACATGGCACGCATGCCGTTCTCCGGTAACAGGGGAATCTCCAGCACCTTGGTGTTGCACTGCATGACCTCATGGCTGGCGGTGGACACGGTCTTGCCGGTGATGCGGTGCACCTGGTAGAATGCGTGGGGGCGCAGCAGGCGGTCGTCGGCAGTGCCGATAAACAGCTGCAGCGTCAGGGGCTCGCGTTCCATATAGCCGTGCAGCTGAAGACAGACAGGACCGGTCAGGATGAGGATCAGTGATCTTTAACACCTATGTAAGATGAAGGTTATTCCATACCCACACGCCGTATAGTTTATTCATATTAATAAGTGTGATTTTTGAACATATGGAAGTCCAAATATTACAGAACAAAGTATGCAATGGAAAGTTGAAGAAGGACTGCATTCATTAGAAGTGATTTCAAGAAATCGTTTAACAAGCTACTCAGTACAATATTTCCACATCTAGTTCCTGACTTTACTTACAGCATCTGATGATATTTCAGGCTGTCTTTTCTATTTTATTCACAGACGTGCACCAAAATATCATCTTAATTTTCTGAATGAACTCAGGCGAATGGTGGACTGGCCGTGTCACACCTCCTTTACAGGGAAATATCACGTAATAGAAACATACATGTTTTAACGTTACAGGATATTCCTTTCTGCCTGCTTAAATCAGCTGTTTATTTGAAAGTAATTTATGGCGACCTTCTGCAGGCCTCACTGCATACGAAGTGTATGTAAAACACTCGCCTGCGCTTCCCAAAAAACTGTACCTGCTTCATTATGACATCATAAAGAATATGTATGATGAAAGCATTTGCCGGGAGCCAGCCTCCATGTCATACTGAGATAAAAGGCCCCAGTTTAAAAGCAGGTGTGATTTCCTTTGATATATCACCTTTAACAGCTACTGTCACCTCCAATAATAGGAGAGGAGCGGGAAATATGGCTTATCAACATACAATGAGCGCCGCCCAAACCATTCACATGGGGCACTGACTGGATTACAGCCAGATGTGGTTAATCTAAGATTTTGCAGCATTGTAAGCAGCTACTGTGAGAAGGAACAAGTCAAAATCATGGACGTTTGTTTATTATTGGCCCAGATAAACAGCCCTATTCATTTCAAAGCTTTCAAAACTGTATATACTGCAAATGGGCTTTCATAATAAAATGAACAGAATTACAGTAGATAATATTGCACTACTAACCATTTCTGGGGTTATATATAGGAACTTACAGATGAACGTAAACAATGAAAAATAGGGTTAGGGTTATGACATTCAAATATGAAAAAATGATATAGTGAAACAAAATATGAAGTTCAGAGGACTAATATAAACAGCCGCTGCACAGAGATACACGGGACTCGGAAATGTGTGAGTAAGGAGTGCGGCACAGAGGAAGAGCTCCACAGCTGGGTGTGTGGGAGACGCTCAAGGTGGGAGGAGAGACCATCCAGCACTGAGTGAGTCCGCAACTTACAGAGGATGGCAGACTGGAAGACTGAAGAATGTAAAACTCGTGTGGTGGTGTCGATGGGTATCAGCAGATACGCAGGTACCTATAACATCTGCTGGCAAAGTGAACGGCATCCGCTAACTGCCTGCGGCGTAGCCTAGCGCTGGCGTTTTCCTGCTCCGGCTGGAAAATGACGCCAATAATTGAATAAACACGCGGATGCGAGTCTGCGTCCTCCGGCGGCGTCTGAGCCAAACGCTGGGAAAGTAGGACAAAGCTGGTGTTAATCTAGTGGCATATAGAAAAACAGCTTCACGCCGACTGAAGAAGATCCATTTATTTTACTACGCTGACTTCGCAGAGCGGGGGTTGCCGCTGACGAGCTGGCAGCGCTTAACCTCGTAAGTTCGTGCTCCGTCACACGCCACGTATCCCCCAATGCGTGCCCTGCGCACCGATCGGATCAGACTCCATATTCCCTTCCCACAAGGACCACGACAGCCAGCTCACTGCTGCACAGCTTGATTGAAAAGCGCAGCTTGCTGTGTCTTATTATGCATCGGAAGGATCCCCAAATGTTTTGGGAACTGAAAATCTAATGTTACATGAACGTTCGTGTAATGTTTAGACAAAGGTTCATTGTATTGCAGTGGTTAGGGGAACGTTAATACAACCAAACTTCTGAAAGGTTAACATAGAATCTTACTACACATGTGCCATGTATGATGTGAAGAACCATAAAGTCTCACTCAACTGTCAGAACCACTGATGGGCGAAAAGTGTCCTTGGACATGGACGGAATGGGCCTTTTGTGGAACAGAGCCCCTCTTCAAGATTTTGTTTCATCTTTTTTTTCCTTCTACGCCAAGGACTGTCTACTATGTGGGAATGAACATTAAATATAAAATGCCATAATTACAGGTTGCTTATTTTTTTCCTCCAAATCCATTTGTATGAGAAATCCCATAATCCCATCTTCATACTGTAATTTTCTTGGTCCCACGACAGAGTTTTAAGAATGGATGATAACAGGGACACATAACTCTTCTTGAGATGTTCCTTTCTGTTGGTTTCAAATCCGTGCTCTGGTCTGTTTCCCTGACCACAACGCCCCAGAGTCCCTCTCGCATCGCAGTGTCTAGTTCATGCCAGGGAATGGCACAAGCAATCCAGAGGTGTCACAGAAAATAGGGCATCATGGGTAACAGTCTTTAAGCCAAGACAAAAAAAAAAAGAAAAAGTTACAACTACTGCTTGAGAATGATTCAGCAAGTTCAAAAACAGTTTGTCTGAAAGCAGTACAACACGGGGGAAAATGGGGATTATTTGGCAGGGCTAAACTTTTCTTTGGAGCCGCGGTGCCAGATACCTGTGTGGTGATTACTAAGTGAACCAGGAAGATGCAGGAAGCTTCTAGCAAAATGTATCTGGGAAGAGCAACGTGCTTCACAGTAATTATCCTCAGATTCTAAATTTGTTCACATATGTGAGAACCGTTGGAAATGCACTCTAAGCCAAAACATTAAGAAAATTGGGGGTAAATAAGGCCCATTAAACACGCAAGTTAAACGTAAACTCAGCCTTGGAACCAAGAACGACATTTTGGGTAGTGAACAAAGGGAACCTTTGACCACATGTGAGATTGTTGTGAAAAAAGAGGTGCTTATTTCTGAATCATATCCCACAAATTACACTCAATTAAGTTTGAATATGCGTGTATTTTTAAAGCGGAGTGTAAGAAAGCTACATTTGTGACTAATTCAAACAGTGTGTCCATCAAAAAAAGTAAAAATACTGTATTCATTTAACAAAATCAGTCATGCAACACAAACCACATGCAACTAGTGATGTAATTAATGAACATTTAACTTGTTTGGCTGGGAGGCGGAGTTAAAGTTTGGTGAGTAGTTATTGTATGTATTACACCACATCATCTTTAAAATGTCCTGTCGAGTAATGAATTTTCACCACATATTAAATATGAATGCAAAAAGAAATATATGTTCAGCTAGCTTTTAAAATCTACTCTCTAATATAAACTAATAAAATCTCACAGTCATACAAGTGAAATATAGAAATGTACATCACGGGGTCCGTACCATGAAAAGGTACCTATAGCTTATCTCTGTCAGCAGATGAACAATAAAACTAAAAAAGGTTGCATCATAAGTCTGCCAGCCTCTTCCACTTACCAACACATCACATGTGGCTTCATTCCCAGTGAGGTCAGCGGCCTGAACTGCACAGACCTCTTAACACCAAACCACAAACCAACAACTCCTGAAGTCATGAAGACATCATATCTACATCCACATCTAAAAGGGGTCCCAGCAACATGGGAGTCATCAGCATAGCACAATACAGAACAAACACACACACACACACACACACACACACACACACACACACACACACACAAAATAACACAGACACATCGTATGTATCAGTGCTCTGAGGCCTCAGTAATAATAGCTACTTTGAACATTATTCTATATCATTAACTAAGTTTTCTATCAGTGTCATTTTAAAAGTTTGAACAGCTGAAAACTTTTACATTCCATATGGATAACAGCCAATTCCACTAGTCTGACGCATGCGGTCCTGTCTTGCATTTCCTGATTAACAATGATCCAGATGTATCACTCTTCTTCATACACTGGGGGGGGGGGGGGATCCTGCTACTGGATCCAAGTTAAAGACCCAGCAGAACATTCTAGATGAAAGCTGGGCTGTATAGTAACTGTCATTTCTTACTAGCGGAAAGTGTCTCCCCCACTTAGTGGGACGTGGCCCCGGCAGGTGGTCAGCTCCTCGTCTTCCTCATTACGGTGCTCTTCAGAATCGTCAAACTACATTTCCATTTAAGACCAACGCTTGTCCTGTGGTTTACTCAAATTGTGCAGGCAAGCTTCCCAGCAAACATGGAACATTCAGCTAACGTTAGCCAATGGTTCTCCTATGGTTAGTTTGGAAAAAAACCTTCTCGTAACATTTAGAGTAAGAGTGATCCCGATTATTAAGCATCAGAAGGATCCCCAAACATTTCAGGACCTAAAAACTCTAACGTTACATGAACGTTCCTATAGACAATCTAACTGGAATGTTGTGATAAGGTTTTCCAAAGGTATCTTGTATTGCAGTGGTTAGGGGAACGTTACAACCAAACAGAAACATTGTCCAAACAAGCCTTCAGGGAATGTTCCCATAACCAAAAAATAATGTTCCTGGAAAGTTCTGGGAACCAAAAATGGTGAGCTGGGTTGATGCTGGGAGGCTACTCCCCCCCCCCCCCCACTCACCCTCCACCCTGCCCATTTTATCACCATGTAGAGGAATGTGTGGATTCCTGGCTCCACGTGGCGGGGCTCTGACAGGGCGGGGGAGTTAAGCCTTTCTGCCTATCACATGTTCCCGCAAACGCTGACGGGGCACAGTGGTGACCAAAATGAAACCATGAGCCTCCCCAGCTCATCCCCATGGCCCCCTCTGCCTGTCCTGGGCTCCTGTCGCCCCTCTGTAAAGTCCCGCCTCAAACCCACATTACATGTCTAACATAGAAAACAACCAAAGCAAACCACCCTGAGGAAAATGTGTTTTGTGCATAATGATCAGCATTTCCTGGTGACCTCCAAACCCTTTCTGTACAAATCAGCTAGAAAAATCTAATATTGTGCATCCAATATTCATCTGCTTTTTTAAAAAGTATGCTTTTGAAACTAGGACTACCTGAAGGGCTTCTTGTTTTGATCAACCTCACCTAGCGTTTCACAGCTTAGCGTACCGCTGAAAATCCCACAAACAATTCCCTCAACTTCAATAATCTGTGCTGGACATCTTTCTCCGCACAGACAAGGTCCATTGTTGTACTGGTGCATTTTCCATGTGTAATTTTACACATGAAATTACGCAAGTGCCAATTCAGACAAATGAAAAAAAAAGACTCAAATTTCAACCATATTAAACAGGCACCCCGAAGAACGTTGTGTTCTATATATAGATTCGGTCCTCTGACTGCGCTCCACGTTTGTTTTTCTAATTACTATAATTATTACTATTAAGTAATAGCCAATTCGCCACATCATGGGTCCGTCGCTGTCATGAAGGGAGAAGAAAACCTTTCAGGCGTGAAGCAGAATCCCCTGGAAAGGACATTTCTTCTGGCGAGAAAGGCTGAAACCAGAGCGTAGACACTGAACATAACTGTGGTAGGAGGAGACTACTTCATCCCCAGTGTGGGCACCACGTCTGCCACTGCCATAATGATTCTGCGGTCCGCTGGGCCGTGCTATAAAAGAGGAGCTAAGCCTTACAGCGTGAGGGAGGTACATCCATAGACGTTGGAAGTCTAGGGGTAAGCTTGGCGGGTTGCCAAGGAGGGGCGCGGTTTCTGAGCGTCTGCTGCAAGGCCGGCCTTGTGATCCGGAGCCTTCCATGATTTTGTGGCTTGTTCCGGGCCGCCTCCAACATCTCCTCGCTCGCCTCGCCAGGGACACGTGCGGTTCAGACGGCAGGCTTCGATAGGATGCCGCCAGCTATGATGTCATCGTCAGAGAGGGCGTTCAGAAATGGACTTCTTTATGGTAGGTGGGTGTTGCCGGCACAAAGGGGCACACGGGCAGGGAGAAGCACCTACAGAACTTACAGATTCTGAGTTTCGATGCACGATTATCCAGCAGGAAGCTCCTCAGGAAGCTAAATCCATGGCCTTTTCTGGAAGCTGCTCTCAAAAGCACCTTACTGTAAGTAAGCAGCCTCTTTTATCCCTGGAATCAATGGAGGCACATTATGGAGAACTTAACAGGTGGGAGCCCTGGTGGGAGGGACAAGGGGAACCTTGGGATGCAGAGCCTCAGGTGACAGTGCCGTCCCTACTCTGTTCCATCCAGGATCTCTTTGCTCTGTACTATCAAAAGGGCCTCCTGCTCTTTACCACCCAGGGGCCCATTTCTCCTTCCAGGGGCCCATTTCTCCTTCCAGATGCTCTCTGCTCAGTACCATCCAGGGGCCCCCTACTCTGTACCATCCAGGGCCCCCCTACTCTGTACCATCCAGGGGCCCCCTACTCTGTACCATCCAGGGCCCCCCTACTCTGTACCATCCAGGGGCCCACTGCTCCTTCCAGGGGCCCCCTACTCTGTACCATCCAGGGGCCCCCTACTCTGTACCATCCAGGGGCCCCCTACTCTGTACCATCCAGGGGCCCACTGCTCCTTCCAGGGCCCCCCTACTCTGTACCATCCAGAGGCCCCCTACTCTATACCATCCAGGGGTCCATTTCTCCTTCCAGGTGCCCGCTGCTCCTCCACGCCCTCACTCCCTAGTTAGCATCTCCTCCAGCTGACTTCTTCAGGCCTGGAGCTCATTATCGTCCAACACATTTAAAACTCGGCGCAGGCTGTTGGGTACGACACAAAGGCATGCTGATGGCATCCCATAATCATTTAGAAATGGTAGAACGGCTTCCAAGTCGCCTGGCACGACGGCCTGCTCTCGCAACAATGCCGCAATAACTCATCGGTTCCCAGTCTGCCTTCCACCTTCCTCCGTTAGCTCATTAATTTACAAATAAGGTCAATCACAGAACAATGACGTGTCCCCACTTCCAGGTTAAATGTGGTGCGGAGGCCAGGCAGCCTCTGATTGGGCGGCAGGTCGCTTGACGGACAGTCAAAGGCGGGAGCTGTTGCCACTGTGCAATTCCCTGACCCCAGAAAATGTAACATTCTGGAGTCAGTATTGTGTTGATTTAAAAGACAGAATCGCTCTGATGACAATTTACGCAAGAGAAGGCACAGAATCAGAGGAACGGAAACGTCAGCGCTTGGCTCGTAATCAGACGCTGATTATCCGGCACAGACACACTCCAGTCTATGCAGCGCGACACTTATCCCACAGAAGGCTGCTGTAAAGTCACTTAGTAGGAGCATAATTCAAACCGTCCGTGGGAGAGGACACTTGATTTATCTTGAGCTGGCGGCGTGACAAGTCTCAGTCGCTCTCCCGCCGTCAGGCTAATCTCTCCCCCCCCGTTTGTGCTGAGAGGCCCCCCAGAAGCCCCATTCAGACTGACGAGCACGGCGTAAGGCCAGCAACTCTGCGCACTTCACCAGCTAAGCCACCACACGCCAAAGACACGTAGACAGCGCATCGCCGGGTTCTCAGGGTCTCTGTCTGGAACGGTAGGCGGCGTGGTTATGCGCCATGTGACCGACGGAACGCACTTTCACGTGCTGAGCCGTCCCACCAGCCAATCAGGAGCTTACGATATAAATGTTAGCTCATCCTCTGCAAAATGACGATGCCTTTGACTGTATAAACTACACATCCATGCAATGAAGCCCCTCTCAAGTGCAAAATTGACCTTCTAAATGTATCGTGGCTTCAATCAGCTTTTATATCAGTGTTTTCTGTCTATTTTTATAGCATTCAGATGGATATCATGCGATCGGTATTCGTTTAATCAAGGCGGGCTGTTTAATGGCTGCCAAGCACAATACAAAAGGCTGTCAGTGCTGCATGTGCCTGAGAAGATATGAGGAGCAGCTGGACTGTCCCAGGCAGACCCTCCTCATCGCGGAATGCCTCAGAGTCGGGGGGCAGTGGCGGCACGGGAGCTTTCCTGGCCAGATCTACCAACCTGACGTAAAGCTTAGCATTAGCGACACGTCGTAAACATAACGAGATGGGAACTTGTAGTTCTCAGGTCGGTGCTGCAGTCGTGGGTCAGCCTGGTCGAAAAGGCTGAGGTGTGAAGCGGGATGTAGGGGGGCGGCGAGTACCTGCACCACGGGGTGGCCCCCGGCCGCTGCCTTTACCGCCCCGCGGCTGCCCTCCGTCTCGTAGTGGGCGCGATGGTGCGACTTGGGCTGCACTTCGATCTGGAGGCTGTAGGGGCCGGAGCACGAAGACAGCTGCCAGTCAAGGGCCGGGAGGCTCGGGCTGCGGGGGGGACACCAGTGAGGACGAGGAGGAAGAGCAACGTGAGCAGCCAGGAAAAGTAAGTGAGGGCAAAGCACATCGGATAGGACAAAAAAAGAAAAGAAAATGTCTCTCTTTGCTAGAGCAAAACACAATCCCACAACCTGAGAGAGAATTTAACCAAGGGAATATCCAAGAAAAATATGACCAGTATAATACGAGAGCGTACAGTAACTTCACAGTATTGTATAGTTGTTGAGCATAAAAATGCTGTCAGATGATAAATAGAATTAATATCCTTTGTGAATTTGCTGACTAGGTGAAATGCTTCTATTTTTTCATCTCCTGCCTGAGAATTCTGTGGCATTAAGAGTCCAGCGGAATGGGCCGGGTCACAGATCGCCGGGTGACGCGGACACCCATCCGACCCGCTCCGCCTGT